CGGTGGTTGAAGCCATGCACGTAGGATAATGTCAACGCTAGATCAGGAGCTTCAAAGCGTTGTGTCTGCCTTTCAGCTCCACGTGCAACCACCGCATGCGAAACATCTCCACCGGACTTTCGCGGTAGAACTCTCCCTTCGTAGCTCTCATCTAGCGTACCATTGTCGAAGTAGACATCTTTCAATCCCAGCACTTGCAGTCTGTTACGAAGCGCTTGATCGTACTGGCATGCAGGTCGAGGTTGGACGTCCGCAAGCTCCTTTTCCACTCGCCACTGACAGATTGCTGGGTCATATTGACTGCTTGTGATGACTAGGCTTCCTCGAAGCGCAAAGTCACCGGATACTGGCGGATGACCCGAAGGTGAACCAAACAAGGACACTTGTTTTGTTAGATGAGCTTGTGGCATTCTTCTTGATAACCAGCAATTGTCAGAGTCTTTCACTGTTGAAGGGGGACACGGGAACGGGGCCAGGTCGACATCTCCATCTCCGTTTAAAACGAGTGTGAGCCCTCGTGTACTATTCGCCACCACACGGTCGTTGTCTTGGGAGTTCAACAGTAACCCACCGACCTCCCATCCGATAGAAGTGTTATGTGTGTGCCATTGGACGTTGCGAAGAGTAGTCACCGACGCCACGCGCGTACCTGCATGCTGGCGAAGGTCCCAGAAGTATAGCATCGAACCGTGCTGAGTCCGAAGGAAGGCTCCATCGACACTAAAGTCTAGCGCATGGGCGTATGTTGCCTCTGACGAGTTACCACCAGTGACCTCTGCTTGAGGCTTCAGAAGCATGCAACGAGAGAGGCGTCGACCAGGTTCGAGTTTGTAGAGATAAATGAGACCGTTGTCGCGTGCCACCGCAAGCAAAGGCTCAGTCTTCAGAGGCCCAAACCGCATCGCAACCACAGCTGAGCTTGTGTTCTTCATCGTCGTCTCAATCGCCATGACACTACTCGACGCAGTACCGGTTCGTCGCGCCAGCATCACTGTTCCGTCCTCGCTACCGACAGCGAGGCGCTCTCCATCACTACTGAACTCCAGACAACTTGGAGCTGCTGAGGACCCGGTGAAACGTAGGTGCTGTACAAATGCGCGACGACGCAGACTCCAGATCTTGACAAACTTGTTGCCAACACCGCACGAAGCAAAGCAACCACCAACGGTACTCGCGGTCGCGATACTACGCGTGGGTTGTCCAGTATGTCCCGACGCCACAATATTCCAGCGAAAACTGTCAGTCGAAGTTGATACTTCATCATCGATCTCAAAGATGTTCCCTGCTCGAGTAGCTACTAGAAATCGTTTCCTTTGGGCATCGTAATCCAGCGAGCAGATACGGAAATCGTCGCCTTCGAGAATGCTTTCCGGTCTGATGACAGTAGACGATGACGGAGTGACCTCGGGAACCGGAAGTAGAGCGTGGAGATCTAGTGACTGGCCGATTGGACGCAGAGTGGAGTCCCATTGCTTGATCTGGCCGTCCTTGCCAGCCGAGAAGAGCACCATCGACTGACACGATAACATACAAACATTGACGCTGGTTTGAACGTCATGCGCCTGGATACAACGCGTAAGTGTGTGACGTTCAAATAGTAACAGCTCACCTCGAGCAGTTCCAATAACTGCAGTCTGTATCCCGTAGTAAACCGCACTCAGACACACTGGCACCGTTTGCAAAGGTGGGTCTACAGTTCCATGCCAATGTGGTTTCTTGTGCTTGAAGAATCGACCGCCAACGTGATGAAACACCACAAAGTGGGCACCGACAACGACAATTTCGTCGCCGTCTTCGTTGAGTGCGAGAGCCAGTGGCCGTTTACTCGATCTCGCCCTTCTTCCACTTGCTGCTGGATGCGCTCGACCTGACACCACCACGGCTTCTTTCTGCCAGTTCCACAAGGCCATGGACGCACCATCGTCGCTACCAATTGATGCAATTAGAGCCTCCGTCTCGTGTGGTTTCTTCTTCATCAAGTTACTACTCAACACTGCTGATGAATTCCCACCGGCTCCGCTACGGTCGCCAATCGACAACGCCTGGGTTTGTCGGAGTGTGGCTGTAGCTGCCGACGCAGCAGCAGGAAAGCTAACGTGTGCGACTCCAGCAGGATGAAAGTTGCGCAGTACAGCTAGACATTGTAGCGTTCTCGCGTTCCAAACATGAATTTCAGCTCCAGCTTTGGTGCTTGTGGTGCTATCCGAACAGGCATCGCCGGTTGCCACGATCTCCCCACTGGCATTCACATCCAGACATCCAATTGCACGTCTGTGGCCACGATAATATCGCTGCTCGTGACGCTGGGAGGAGTATAACACAACGTAGCTCCCCACGAAATAAACCGCTTCACCCGTAGCTAGCAGGCGACACGCGTTTCGAGCTGATGATCCACTGGTTCCGTAAACCCACTCTAACTGTAAGTTCGCAGGTGGAGGCATACCGTTCTTCTTGCAGACTGACGCAGTATTCTGTAGTGGTTGAGAGATAGGCTCAATCATCCACGGTGGGGGAACTTCAGCCCATTTTCGACTGATACCCAGATCTAATTCCGCTTGATCTCGACGCTTATCGGAGTTTCCTAAATCCTCCACATCCAGATCTGAGTCATCATCACTACCATCAGGCAGTGAGAGAGCGTCCTCGAACCCCACAGCCTTTTCAGCAATAAGACGGAAGCGCTCGACTTGAAGCATGAATTCACGGTTGCGACGTGCCCACGCGATGAAATCCTCGAAGACGAGTGCTGTCGTGGTCTTATCCACATGAGAAAATGCGTTTTCTGCTAGCCCAAGACAGAGCATCATCGCCTCCATAGAGTTGTTTGCGTCTGATGCAGAGTGCAGAGAGGACAACGCTGAGCTTTCAGGACCACCGCCGGTTAGTAGCGCCATGCCGATTAACACAGACTTCAT